CAGCAAAATGAAAATTCTGGCAGTTGCAATAATGTCGGAAAAAGCATAGCAGTTGGAGCAATAGCTGCTGCAGCAAGGTGTCAGATACCTCAGTTATCTCGTTTCGCACAGCTCTTGTCTACTTATTGAATTTTTCGAGCAATTTTCTTATCTGTCCATTGCGTAAGAAAGGTTTCTCCACAACTCAGAAATGAAACACGAGCCACTTTCCTCATGTGATGACTGCAGCATGGTTTCATGGTTTTCGATATTCCAGTCATTTTCATCCACGCAATCCTAGGCCTTTGTGTCACCGCGCTGCTCTCGTCCTGGATCAGACGCCGCAGCAAAGTTAAAACATGTTTGTTATTGAATAAATGTACTACGGAAGAACAAAGGAGAATTAAAAATGATCAGAATCACGGAATCCCGGTATCATTCCAGGTTACGCGAGGGGTGTTTGCGATGCATCTGTTGGTCTCGATGAATCTGCTGGTTGCGATCCACCTGTTGGTCTTGATGCGTCTGGTGGCTGCGATCCATCAGCTGGTTTTACAACGTCTGCTGGCGCCTGTGGCTGTTCTCCTCTTAAAACGTCGCCATGAGCAGTGATCATTTCGCTACTGGATGACGATGATTTCTTTTTTTTCTTCTTTTCGTCTTCAGGAGTAGGAGGAGGTGGTGTCGCAGGAGTGGGCGACGTTGGTGTTGTCTTCGTTGCTGCAATTGCTCCAGCAACTGCAGCTGCAATCGCCAGGTCACGTTGGAAATCAGCTTTTTCTTCCGTCTTCTTTTGCCGCTTGCGCAAAAGATTCAATTCTGAAATTCCGCTGAGTTTTCATGCAAAAATTTGCAGCATTTGAAAAATTTAGCAGATTCCTCAAAATACCTGAAATGACTGGTATTCATCGCAAATAAATTAGTAGAAAAAGTAACCATTTTTAGAAAATAAGTGCGACATACTTCGAAGGCGGCGACGAGCACGATCCTTCATCCTTCGCTTCTTGCGATGTTTCAGGATACCCATTCGAATCTTGAAACGACGACGGGCTGGTATAATAGAGGCACGGTGATAAATCACAATGATGAGAAAGATCAGGGTAAGCACGATGTCCAGTGCAGAAATTTTGAAGATAAGGGCCATGAAAAATGGCCTGAAAATAAGGATATCGACTGTAGCAGAAAAGTGTATCAAAAATAAGCAACAAAGGTCTTTAATACATTTGCACACATATCATTGATCAGCAAGCTCCGGAGACTGACCGCCACTTGAACCAGTTTCAGTAATGGTTACCATGAAAAAGTTCTCGGCAGCTGTGCTGAGGGGTGGTGGAAGTCCCGTGAATAACTGGCATGTGTATGTACTGCTTGCAGAAACTGCATCAAACAGTAATAAGCATGCGAATGGTATACATACAGGACGCTCTAGCAAGCGTGTGGATTACAAAAACCGATAAAGCAGTGATCAAAAAGGTTGGATCTGGGAGTGAAGACGAGTGGTTCGATTCCAAAGCAGTTCCCACATTCATCCGCTAAAAGAACCCCATCCGTGAGAGATGGCGCAAAAATGCTTGATCGATCGAATAACGGCTAATTTCAATTTGAAAGAAAGCATCATCAATCTGCAGGAGGTCTCAGGGTTATGTGTTTTAGTATTATTCCGATGTCAGATATGTGTTTTAGTATTATTCTGATGCAGTTATATGATAGATTTAGTCTTACGGCCTCCTTAT